GAAGAGCCGTCCTTTGCTCCATTTGAATTGGCGGAGCTGGGTGATTTGTTGAGCGAGAGTGCAAAGCAACGCGAGGACGAAATTGCAAGACTAAAGGCGGAACGAGACCAAGCTGCCGCAGATCAACTCCCTGCCGCCGACAAGGGCCTCGCAGCAATACCGGCAGCTAAGATGAACCCTTTGCTTGATCAGCCAACAGAAGACGGTGCCGAGAAATCAGCCGCAAAGTTGGCGCCGTATCTTGGGGTAACGCCTAACGAACTAAGAATTTACATGAAGGATAAGAGGCTGGTTAAAGCTTTTCAGCGGCTTGAGCGAGAATGTTCTCTAAAGTATCCTAACAGTGGAACTCCAGACTTCAGCACAGTCCTAGACGTTGTCGACAAGAATCCAGGAACATTTGACGGGCAATACTTCCCACGCGCCGAGTTCTCAGCTTTGAATTTAGCTGAGATGTACGCCTATACTCTTGGTTTTGTACACCAGAGGATGTTCTCCCTGCCAAATGCACCGTTCAACAACCGCGGAATTGCACCTTCCCAGTTAGCAGAGCGGGCTTGGAGATTGCTTGCGCTTGTTCGCCGACAGCATCGACGTCGAGCGGGAGGGCTAGCTCGTTCCAAGGGCGACAGCAGGACAACTCATGAGACGAAGCGCGCAAATCAAGACCGCACCTCTCCCCAACCATCTAGTAGTAGTGGCGCCAAGCAGCAAATTGATCTGGAAACAAGGAGAGCAGTTCACGCTGAAGAAGCTCGCGAGCGTCTATCAGCATCAGATGATCAATCAGTTTGGAGCAATAGCTTAGTTGACGACACGGCAAAATTAGGTGACATCACTGTTGAAGATGACTCTGAAAATGAGTCAGAGCATGAGGATACCAACGCTTCAACTTCACGCGTTGAACGTGAAGCGGATAGTGGGGACCAGGTGGATATCGTCGAAGAAAGCAGTACTCCAAAGACAAAAGAACAGCCTACTGAGATCACCCACCACGATGATGCTTTAGGTGCGGTGCAATACCGAAAAGTTAGGAGGAATAAGACAGGTGCTCGACAACTCCGCTCCTATATACGCCCACGAGCGACAAGGAATGAACTGAATTCTCGCTGGTCATGGTTCCAAGACGGAGAGGTACACGGGGGAGGGCATATCCAGGATTTGCTCGACTACGAAGAGGTAGATTGGGAAGATGGAGGCCAGGCAGGGCCTTCTTTTGACGTTTTACCCAAGTTTCCGCCTGGTATGGACATAGCTGCACAGACGCGTCCTGAAAAGCAGCTCGCTCTGGAGATTGTGCATGATTCAATCAACACACCAAGCAAGGAGGCCGCCGCCGCCGAAGGACCACCAGAGGCAGAATTAGATGCGACAAACCCCAGCGAACTGCAAGACACCAGCGATCCGCAAGACACCAGCGATCCGCAAGACACCAGCGACCCCCAAGACACCAGCGACCCCCAAGACACCAGCGATGCCCAAGACACCACCAAAGCTGGAGCAGCGTCCGCGAATGGACTGACAACCCAAGCCAGCGCCATAATGCCTACCCAAGAACCCAAACTGGACGCAGATGGCCAGGCATACGCCAAGCGGTTATTAAAGAACCAATTAGTTCGAGCCCAGCGGTTTGAAAGCCTGTATACTTTGGCAGGTTTCAAAAAAGACGAGATATCCAAGAAATTTGAGGACATGTATCCAGAAGGTGCTGCGGCTATGGCACACAAAATACTAGCCGAGAACCATTTTGATGCCGCTCAAACAGTTTTGCCAGAGAATGCTGATCCAAATACCTTGCCTACTGAAAAGATTGTCAACATACCAGCAACGAATTCAAAATTTAGGCAGCACGAGCGTTCAACAACCAAGCTAATGTCCAACCATGCATTCCAACCACGCGACTATCGGCGTGCGCTCACAGGCGTCATGGCGCTCAAACGGTCTAATCCCCGCATGCCAGGTCAATCGAGTGACTGCCGCATGCCAGCATGGTGGCAAACAACTGGCACTGACTGGTGTGATGATAAACGCACACTATGGACTAAGAATCCGGAGGAACATCCTAAAGGTGTCATGATTTGCGACCAAGTAGGTATTGGTAAAACAGACACAGCCATTGGTACTGCGCTTAAGGTAAGCGATGAAGTGTCCCTGCAACTTTCGCTCAGATGCGTTTTGGGAAAGAGTACATGATAGATTAAGGCTAGCAGAGGGGGTTAGGAAAGAGTACATGATGGATTAAGGCTAGCAGAGGGGGGTTAGGAAAAGAGTACATGTACTATTTGCGAAACCCCCCCCCCTCTACTGCACTTTAACTCGTACTCTAGGTCTTTACGTCGTCGTTCTTACGCTAACTTAGTGTAGGACATCAATCGTCGAAAAATTGAACTACAAAAACTTCACAACGCAGCTGATTGGGAAGCCCTAAGCAACTATCCTGCGCCTAAACCCACATTCTGGATTACGCAGCCACATCTTCAACAACAAGCTGCACGCGACATTGTCCGATTTTCAAGGAAATTCAGGGTCTACATATACGGAGGTAATGTGAAAAATCAAGGGGACTACATTCCAGGTGTTGAGTACATCAACGAGACACTCACGTCTTCGCATCCAATATTCGACAGTTTGAACGAAACCAACTCTCAGGTGATGGTTATTACTTCCTATTCACTTTTAGCCGTCAGAAATGGCCCAATGGCAGTGAAGAATTGGTTACTAAAGTCCTACACCGCTGAAGAGCGAGAACGCTTCAAGATTGATCCTAATAACGACTGTTTCAAGCTTTACGAGGAGTGGGACGGAAACATTCAGGGATTATGCCGCACAGTCATTTTGGACGAAGTACAATACACGAAGACGTTTGATTCCCATTCTTCCCACGCCATTCGCTGGCTCAGTGCCGAATGGACGATACTGGTAACAGCGACGCCTATCCCATGGAGGTTTACTGATTTCGGCGGGCTTCTTTCCTTCATCCAAAATAAGGCCATTAATGCACAGGCCTTGCGACTATTGACAGATCCCGATTGTCTTGACCCATTCGAACTGGACAGCAACGGGAAGCTTGTGAATCCATTGCTGAGTAAATACCGGTTCACATATTCAATGTACCAGCATTTCGTTACCGATGCGCTGGGACCAGATGAACAAGGCGCTAGAATCGGGCAGATATGGGCGAGAGTTATGCTTCGCCGAGACTACGCTTCCAACTGTGTCATTGATCCTGAAAACAACACACATACGATTGGTTCTTCTATGCCTCCTTGTCGAATGCTGCGCCTACATTTAACGAACGACAGGGTATCTCATATGCTCTATCAAATACTTTCCAAACGCTTCACCAAAGGCGTATTGAAGTTTGGCAAAAACGACGAGGACGTGCGCCTTAGCAGCCGCAACATACGCATACTCAATCTAATGAGCATAAATCCGATGTTCGCATTTGCCGAATCCATCCACAGCGTGAATATCCCGGATCCCAAGGCGTCGGATGCAAACGCTCCGCGAATCCGGAATCCAGTATTGAGAGAATATGACGAGCTGTTTGATAGGGGTGAATACAAGGCTTGGATGCACAGGCTCATGTCCGAGATTAAGGAGAAGGCGGATGTGAACAATCTGCCACAGTTACTACCCGAGGTCCTGCCTCTTGATCATGAGGATGTGGTTGTCACAATGCTGCGCGACTTTTGCCAGTACTCGGTCCGACTGCGTGCGTTGCTCGCCTCCATCGCAGATCACGTAGTTGTCCGGCATGAAAAAATGTTGGTATTCTCTCAAAATCCATTCGAACAACAGCTGCTCTCGGTAATTCTGAACCTGCTTGGCATTAGGGCGGATGCACATTTGGCTGCTTCGCCTCCCATGAAAAAGTCGAGTGTGATATCGCGCTTTAATACGCCCCTCACACGGCTCAGTTGCCTCGATCCCAACAGGGGTGGACTGGAACCAAAGGACCTCGAAGTGCTGTGTATGGGCTACGCAATGAATGCGGGGTTAAACCTGCACGAGCAATGCCACATTATGCATGCATTTTCACCAGCTCAATCCCACTCCATACGGACTCAAGCATGTGGTCGAGTAGCGAGATTTGGGCAGCCGCACGCATGCGAGATCGTCGAGTATTTCGTCAAGGATACGTACAACGTGAAGCAAGTAACGACAGCGAATTCGAATGCATTGGCGGGGTTTTATGCACTTGTCAGCGGATACAACGAGGAAGGAGAGGAGCTTGCAGGAATTGACACAGACGAAGTAGTCATCAAGCTTGGTGCACTTGATTCGTTCGTGGAGTGGAATGGCGAAAACTACGACTTGAACGCTGACGATGTGCCCGAAGGTGCCCGGAAGTATGGCACTAAGCTTACCAGGAAGCAGGCGCTGCTAGTTCTTTTCAACTCCCAATATGGCGAGGACATTGCACTTGAGATGGATTCAACGACTGGCCAGCATACGTTTGCGGAGACCAAGCCAGTATTGTCAAATGCCGATGACATTCCCATCAAGTTAGGATCGTCGAACCCTGTAACGCCCACTAGCGCTAGTAGTGCTGGCCGCAACACCGCGATGGGGATTTTAGGCGTACCTAGCATTGGCAAAAAGCTAAGTTTCCTGCGGTCAGACATTGATGAAACTCAGCTTGAGGCCCTTATTGCTGGTGAGGACAATGAAGCAGGCAACACATCTGATCCAGCATCTCCAACGCCTAACCGGAATCCTGGTGGCGGTAAGACACGACGTTCCGCGAATACAGCCCGCACACCAAAGCATGCCGGGCCTTCGGTTCACAGTGATACATTGGGCGATGCGGGCGACGGAAAGAGAAAGAGGGCATCGACGAAGGGTGCTACTGACCTGACAAGCTTGGAGAGTCTTAGCAAGAGGCCGCGGCGCGGCAAAACTAGCAGCGGTGAACAGGGCGACAAGAATGTTAGTAGCCAAGGCCGTACAAAGGGCAAGGGTAAGGTGAGCAAATAGTGATGAGTTTAGGAGGCTCTTTAAACAATAAAACAAGCAGGACTAGCATTGGAAGTGTATAATAATACCCATGCATTAAATTTTAGGATCACTTAGCAGTTTTAAAGCTATAGAAAATAAAAACTCTTATAGCTTTAATTCCTTAAAGTTTAAGACAAAAGATTAGAGAGTAATTTATCTAATCTATTTAACTATATAAGCCACTACAACTACAACTACTATTACAGGAACAATTCCTTCTAGTCCCGCCTAAGCTCTGCCCTCAAAAATACAAAAATTGAAGGGAAACCCATTCCTGTAGCACTCAGTATAGGCTTCCTAGGCGTGTGGCAGTTCCATCGAATTCAGCGGAGAGAGCAGCATACGCAGAACTGTGGCGGGGAGGATGGACAAATTAGTCGTCCCAAGAAGAGGGAGAGGATACGGCCAGCGTTTCCAACAGGAAGTAGTACAATTGATACTTTTGCTCCACCTACAATCACGTGAGGCAAACAAACATAACTACATTTTTAACTATTATAATTTAATTAATAAGGCTTAAAAGTAAGCAGTATACAATTAAGGTAGACTTTTTTAAGGTTGCAGTCTCTAACGCGCGTGAGGGCTAGGGGAGGGTGTTTGTGCCACTATTTACGTGTCAGCGTAGCCTTAGAGCTTGCCCTGTACTACAACAACCTTTCAGACAACCTTATTATAGCAAAAGATAACAGTCCCTTGTATGGGGAACGTCTAGATTAGTGGCTCCAGGTTGGTCGGCGCGACTATCCTGTACTCTTCAAGATGGCACTTGATTTCCTATGTATACCCTCCACAAGCTGCGACTGC